GAGTCCCAGTGACTCACAGATACTTCCAAAACCAGCTTGCAGGTGCCGATGAGTCCGAGCAGGTGACGCAACCAAGCTCAAGGAGGAGCTCGATGAAGATCTTGTCCTTTGTGTCGTTTCGTTCTAGTTGATCAGTAGTGGAGCCCATTTGGGGTCGATCAGGGACCTTGTCGCTTTTGGGGTTCTTCTTTTATTTTGGTTCCGTAGTCGGACCTTGATTGTATTTGGATGTTGTAATGCTTTATTCATGTAATTGTGTGAAGTGGTGATTGTAAGCCAACTATGTATCTCTTTTCCTTATGTATTACATGGGTTGTGTGAAGATTACCTCACTTGCGACATTGCTTTCAATGCGGTTATGCCTCTAAGTCGTGCTTCGACACGTGGGAGATATAGCCGCATCGAGGGCGTTATACTCACCATCTTAAGTGTCTCCAACCCCCTTCTAGCAAGTGATGAGGATACGACATGTGGATGCCCATCGTTAAATGAAAAGGTTTATGTTATTTGAATGTGCTTAATGAATTGGTCTATGCTACATTTTGGATTTTGTATGTTCAAAGGGTTTTTTCATGTGTGCATCGTGCAAAACTTAACTAATGTAGCAACAACATGCAGAAGTTACCTAAAATAGCAACATGCAAAACTTACCAAAAATAGGAACATGCAAAACTTACTTAAAAGGGATCCATGCACAAGGAATTTATGTTGTGAAGTTTTTTTTCAAAATTTAGGTACTGCAAGTCCATGTTTTTTCGCAGTAACTAGTTCACACAAAAGGGCTCCATGCACAAGGATTTCATTTTTTAGGCTTTTTTCATTTTCTCTTATCCCTTTCCTCTTACCCCACCACTCGTTCACTATCTGCTAGTCTCATGCCCTTCTCCCCTCCGCCTCCCACCGCAGCGTTCCCGACGACGCGCTCCGGCACCACTCCCCGGTGACGCACTTCACACATCCACCGGCGTCCGGCAACCCCAACACCCTACCGATGTCCCGCCCTGCACCACCCTCCCTGCGTCACGTGCCCCGCGCCCCCGCTGTTATGCGGCCTGCAACACTCTGGCGATGCGCGTGCACAACACCCTGCGATGACGGAGACCTCTGGGCGGCGAGGCTGAATGGCCTATGGCGGATTGGTGTTGGGTGAGGTAAAGTTTCCTATGGCAATCGAGTTGTGGTGGGCAGTGCACGGAAACGGGGAGGATGTTGTTGTGCCTCACCGCCAACGCGCGATTCGACAAGATGCTCTAAGCAACTGAAGAATGAGGGAGCGCTTTGCATCGACAACCCCCACGGCAACGACGAGAACCACCGCACATCTGTTGTTTCCCGGCGTGTTGGTCATGAGCTCCCATCTGTCACCCGCCGGGGTCCGGCCTGAGCACGTCCACAGCAGCTATTGTAGGTTCATTGGGGTAGAATCAGACGAGAAGAGATGTGGTCGAGGACTGGGACCCAACTCGACCTCGACCATTACGACTGTGCACTGCACAAGCTCCCTATGCTATCTACATCGATTTGTAGGTCGCACCTTTGCTCAACCTTTGTTTCTTCATTTTTGTTAGTTTATCTCTTCAATTGCCATGTGATTACCCCAGGAATGTAGACCATATTTTTTGATGATTCTCATATTAGTGCAATTTTTATAGTTTTGCCATGATGTGTTGCCATGGAACTAAAAGAATGTTGTGTTTTCCATGTATATTTATGATTTGTTGCTATGGCAACTAGTAGCTGATGGAACTAATCTAATGTTTGTGTTTTTTCCATGTAAATTTATTGATGTGTGTGCCATGGAACTAAATGAATGTTGTGCTTGAAGTGTAAATTTATAGAAGTGTTGCCAGGGCAACTATAAGCTTTTGGTGCCATGTATTTAGTTTTTTTTGTTAATTTTATAGGTCTGGTTGCCATGGCAACAAGAAACTTATGCTGCCATGATGACAACATTCATTGTGCTCTTTGCCTACCTATCCGAACAATGTTGCCATGGAAATTTTTTACATTTTTGTTTTGAGAAAATGGCAATTTGTTATCTTCTAACTTTGCTTTACCCATGGCAAAACTTATGACCCTTTTGCCATGTTATTTTCTCACACAACAAAATTAGTGTAATTGTTTTTTGTAATTCAGGGAAAATATACTATTTATACCATGGCAAGTTTTTAGGAATTATTGAATTTTCCATGTGCCCATGGATATTTTGCTAAATTTGCCATCCTATATTTTGTGTTTTAAAGAACAAACCTTCTAATTTTTCCATGTTCCCTTTTTACATTATTTTAAAATTTCCCATTTTTTTAGAAAAAAAATCTTAAAACTTGCCATGTGTGCATTGCAAATTCCCTGGATTTTCTATTGCTTCCATAGAATCCATTTTTCGCATATTTGCCATGTACCCTTTTTTCAAATCCCCTCAAAAGTTGCCATGTGTTTTCTAGAGAAGAATTTCTTTAGTTTTTCCATGTGCCCAATTGTAAATTCCCATCTTTTTGAAAGAACTATATCCCTAAGTTTTGCCATCCTCTACACGTGAATATAAATCTCTATTTTTGTTATGTCACCATTACCAATTTCAAAAAAATTACCATGTGTTTCGTCAGGTAAACAAACTCCTCAATTGCGGGTTTTTTAACCCTTGTGCACTTTTCCTAACTACACGACAAGCATCTTTGTGTGCATCATGGCAAATTTACACTTCTTTTGTCCACCATGGAGAAACTTACATATTTTTTCCATTAGTGTATGTTTTAAGGACCTATGGCATTTTTTTACTTATTTTCAATATGGGAAAATTGCTTTTTATGGGATAATGGTAAATTTAGCGTATCGATCATGGAAAATATAGTCTATGCATCATGAAAATTTTAGTGTTTCTACCATGGAAATTTTTATTTTTAAAATTTAGTCTATGTATCATGGCATTTTTTGCTTTCTAGACCACAACAAATTTATTTAATGGCCCATGTTAACTTTTCTCTATGCACCATGGCAAATTTAGTGTATGTACCATGGCATTTTTTTATTTTTAAAATTTGCCATTACAAATTTGCTTTTTAGACCACGACAAATTAGGCCCATGGAAACTATAGTCTACGCATCATGGCAAATTTTCTGTATGTACCATGACATTTTTTTATTTAAAATTGACCATGGCAAATTTGCTTTCTAGACCACCGCAAATTTAGGCCCATGGCAACTATAGTCTATGCAACATGGCTAATTTAGTGTATGTACTATGGCAATTTAATTTTTGAATTAGTCTATGTATCATGGAAAATTTTGCTTTCTAGACCACGACAAATTTAGCCCATAGCAACTATAGTCTACGCATCATGGCAAATTTAGTATATGTACCAGCCTTTTTTATATTAAAATTGCGTCATGGAAAATTTCATGTCTGTTTTTGTTCATAAACAATGAAAAATTTATACTGTATAAATGCTCTGCATGACAAAATTCATGTGATTTTGCCATGGCACCTTTTTATTTAAAAACATGGCAAACTTGCCATGGCAATTTAAGATGTCCAAAAACATGACAAAGTTATAGATGTTCAATGCCATGGCAACTAAAGACGTTCAAAACATGGCAAACTTGCCATGGCAACTTAAGATTTGCCAAAAACATGGCAAACTTCTTTTAATTAAGTTTGTTCAAAAAACATAGCAAACATGGCAAACTTCTTTAATTAAGATGTTCAAAAACACGTATGCTCAAAAAAAATATGCTAAAAAAAAGATGTTCAAAAACATGGCAAACTTGCCATGGCAACTAAAGATGTTCGAAAACATGGCAACCTACGATGTTCAAAAATATGACAAACTTGCCATGGCACCTAAAATCAGTATTTTTTTTTATAGATGTGTTTTTTTCCATGGCAACTAAATGCATTTTTTGCCTTGGTTCCATAGAATGTTTGCCATGGCCATTACATACTAGTTTGAGAACACGACAAGTGTGTTCTTTCAAAGTTGTTTTGCCACGGCAAAAAGTTTTGATGCTTTGAAATTTGTTTTGTCATGGTGATTACATGTGCGATATTATTACAAGTTAAGATACTTTCTCCATATTTTTTTAAATTTTCTATGTGTCTAGAAAAACATTTTTCAACATATCTTTTTTACACTAAACTATTTTTTATGATCAGCAACCATGGCATTTTTTATGATCAGCAACCATGGCATTTTTACACTAAACTAATTTTTCTACTTTTCTTCTTCTTTTTACTATTCTTTGTTTTTTTACTTTTACATTTTTTGGTTTTTTTATTCACGGTTGACAAGAGGCCCAGTAAAATGGACCATTAGGCCTTTTTTAGACCGTGCTGATGGGATCGTTCCGGCTGAGGGGTTTTCCCATCGAACGTTTTCGTTCGGTAAAACGTGCATCCCCGATGCGAACGAGACGATTGGTCCAGAGTCCAGACCGAACGATCGGGAGACATCGAGGTCTTTTTTTTCTTTTTGCTGGGACTGTTGTATGTATATGTGCCGGACTCCGATAAACCAGCAGCATATCACGAGGACTCGTTTAAACCGTGATTAGTTTGAGATCTCATGTGTATACGTATAGCTTACGGCATGCAAGAAATACAATGCGCTTCGCATCTCCAAAACCTACACATATACAGTACTTATGTAGCTTACGCATTATCCAGATCAGATCCGATCTCCCTCATGGCGTCTTCAGAACGCGATGAGAGCATGTCAGCATGGCCGGGCCTGCCGCCCGAACTCCTTGCCACCGTCCTCGGGCGTCTCCCGTCCCTCGCAGATCGCGTCCGCCTCCGCGCCGTGTGCCGCCCGTGGCGCGTGAGCGCCACCTGGCTGCCGCCGTCCCACCTCCATCTCCCCTGGCTGGTCTTCGGCGACGGCACCCTCCTCGACGTCGCCAACAACACCGCGCACCGCTTGCGCATCCCCGACGACGCCGTCTGCTACAGCGCCGGCGAGAACACCTTCTTCCTCGTGCACGACGACGGCCGATGCTCCCTGATGGATGCCTTCTCCGCCGCTCCCGTGACTCCTCTCCCCGAGCTAGCAGCTCTCCTGGCAGCTTGCAACGTGAATGCCCGATACGAGCTCCTGCAGCCCATTACCAGGGTCGTGGTGTCCCCGGCGGCCTCGGTGGAGCTGGAATTCCGCCTGGTCGCCGTCAGGATCCGCACTGGCGAATTCCTTCTCTCCACCTGCCGCCCGGCCGGCGAGCCCAACACGTGCGTAGCGCTGGACCAGTACTTTGAATTCTCCATCGCCGACATCAGGTTCTTTCAAGGGAAGATCTACGTCCTGTCCAAGATCAATGAGACGCTCCGCGTCCTCGATCTCAACAATGGCTACCTCGACGAGCTACCGGCATCACCATCTTGCATCGAGGTCATATGCGGAGTGAGGTCCGAGTTCGCGATGACAGAGGAGCCCCATCTGCAAAAGGATCCATGGCCGTACGGCCACGTCGTTGCGGGGCGGTATCTGGTCGAATGTAATGGCAAGCTGCTCATGGTCAGGCGATGGGCCCGCAAACCTTTGATGAGCTTTAGTTACTTTTCGATGACCGAATTTCGAGACAAGGATGGGTACGATCTTGAACGGACTCGCCGGTTCGAGGTCTTCGAGGTAGACCTCGGCCGAAGGATGAGCCATGGCCGGTGGAAGAAGGTCCAGGGCTTGGATGGTTGGGCGATGTTCGTGTCATCGCGATGCTCCAAGGCAGTAACTGCAGCAAGCCATGGAGCTCGAGAGGACTGCGTCTACTTCGCGCACCAGTGGGGTCGGAGAGACCCGGACAATCCCATCGGCGGCTCCGGGGTGTACAACATGAGAGACGGGGCGATCACGCGGCCGCTGTTGCCAGAGCCTGCGGCGGTCGCTGGGTCACTGCCATGGAGCCGACGGTTTCCAGCGTGGGTATTCCCTATGGAAGTTTAATTTGGTTTCAGTTTTCATATTGATTTGTTCTCAATTGGTACCTACTAGTTTTATTGTGCTAGGTGTGTTTCTTGTATCCATGTTCGCATCTATTGCTTTTTTTCTATGAAATTGTAAGATGCGCCATTAGCGCACTCTCAAAGAAGATTGTAATATAAAGTCTTGATTGAATATGTCTGGTGAAAACTTGAGCGATGAATCAAGAACATTGAACGATCAGGGTGTAACGCCCCGAGTCCGATGCGCCAGGTGTCTTTCAGTTATTCGCTGTCATTGTCATGTCATCCGCTTGCGTGTTGCACCTTGCCATGTCATCATGTGCATTGCATCCTCATGTTTTCAAAACTTGCATCCAGTCATTTTCTCCGTTGTCCGTTTCGGATTCCGATACTCTCACACGCAACCCGTTGCACCTCCCAGATCTTGTTTTATGAGCAGGGTAAAAACGTTCTCGGACTGGGCCGATATTTGTCGAGTGGCCTTGGTACATCACCGGTAGACTGTCTGTCAAATTTCGTTTCATATGGAGGTCATTTGATGCCCCAACGGTTAACCGCGTTAACCGCCGGACCCCTTTCTCTTTGCAGCCCAGCACCCCTTCATAACAGCCCGCTAGCCCATCTAAACCCCCTCCATGCTCTCCGTCGTTGGATCACGATCGTGTGGGCGAAAACAGCACCTCAATTGGCCTCTCCTAGCTCCCTCTACATATAAATTAGTCACCTCCCCGAAATTTCGGGCAACCCCTAGATCAACCCCCTCCTCCACGCCGGACGCGTCCACCCCGCCGCCGTACGTGTCCACCGCCACCATCCACGTCGCCCGGGCCAATCAGTGGCCGCCATGTCATCGCCGCCGCCTCCCGCGCCAACCCCGTGCTGCCACATCGCCTCCAGCCTCCACCTCCACTGCGCAGCCCGTCGGGGCCCGGATCTGGCACGCCCGGGCCCGAGACCCCGCTGGGGGAGTCCTGGATTAGGGGTCCTCGGGCGTCCGGGCTATGTGACGTGGGCCGGACTGATGGGCCGTGAAGATACAAGATAGAATCACTACTAGGAAAAGGGCTAAAGATAGGATTGACACTAATGACACACCAGAGAAGTGGTGCACCACTACTATATACTAATGGCGCACTTGGTGGAGATACGCCATTAGTGTGGAATACACTAATGGCGCACCAGGCAGAAGGTGCGTCACTAGTAAAACATTTTTTTTCATTTTTTAAACATTCTAATGACGCATCCGGGCAAAGTGCGCCATTAGTAGTTAGAACTACTAATGGCGCACTGGCGACAGAGTGCGGCAGTAATTTTTTTTTTACTTTTTGACAAAAAAACTTTCTAATGGCGCACCGCCGCTCGATGCGCCATTAGTACGCTTTCCCCCACTCAACCTATTCCCCTCCTTCCCTTCCTCCCCACTCAGTACGCCCCCTCCGCCCCAACCGTACGCCACCGCCGCGCCTGCATG